ATCACCGCAACGACATGCTAAGCTCGAACTGGGCCTCGACCAGTGCCTCCAAATGGGCTGACTGTCACGGGCTCTTCCGCTTTTGCCCGATGGCCAGAGAGCCCGTGACAGCCCGCACGGCCTAGCGCAGGAGCCCAGCCCAGCCCTGCCCGCTCCCGAACGGCAAAAGCCCGTAAACAGCCCGCAAGGCACAGTGGAGCCCGGTGCGGGCTCTTTTGCAGATTTTCAGCCCGCGCACTGGTCGAGCGCTGATACTTTTACCTGCAGATGGCAGCACTATTCAGGCATGAAGGTGCTTGCCTAATTTCCATTGGCTGGCTAGCTCTCCCGCGCTCCAGTGAGCTACGGGCTGTTTCGGGCTCTTTCTGGCTCGGGTCAGCCTAGGTCAGCCCGCACCAAGCCCGCGCGGCCTCTGTCACTGTGACCCGAGGTTACCCGAAGGCAAAGCTGATTTTCGTAGGCAAGCCGAAGTCACGGGTGACGTGCACTAAAGTCCTGGATGGGGCCAATCAGGTGCAAGGACACCAATCGCGCTTCTCTCCCATCCAGAACTTTAACGTGCACTGCAAAGTTACGGGCTGTCACGGGCTCTCTGGCGATCAGGCGAAAGCGTAAGAGCCCGTGACAGTCAGCCCATTTGGAGGCACTGACCCCCGCCACACGCCTCTCCTCGCCTCTCACCTTGCCCGGACCGAGATCTCAGACGGGCTCAGACGGGCTCCGCCACCCGGGCCGGGCTCGACACTCACCTCCTCCACGCTGCAGGGCCCGGAGCCCGCGTGAGTGAGCCCGTTTGCGGTCTCTGTCTCCGACGCGACACTAACGCCCTTCTCCTCTCTGTGTGTTTCAGGATGCTGCAGCAGATCCTCCAGGACATGTGGGTGGACCCGGCCATCCTGGCCGAGCTGGACGACGACCAGAAGCAGACGCTGTTCTGCAAGATGCGCGAGGAGCAGGTGCGGCGCTGGCGCAGCTGGGACCAGAAGCTGTCGGAGCACCCCCCGCCACCGCCGCGCCCCAAGAAGAACAGTGAGTGTTCTAGGGGTAACTAGGGGTGGATGGGGTAACTTTTGACCCCACCCCGGGGCCCCGGGGCACGTCACCCGGACCGGGGTAATCCTTTCTTCCCGGCTCGGCTCGGCTCGGCTCGGCTCGGCTCGGGTAACCCGTCCCGGAGTAACCCCTCCCTCCCGGGGCGTGTCTGTCGTGGGCTGCCTTGAGCCGACACGGCGCGATGGTGCGTGCTCTCGGCTAACGACCAGCCTCTACCAGCCTCGCCCGGATCCGCCCCTGCTCGCCCGTCTGGCATTCTCCCTGCAACGCGAACGCGCGTTGCGTTTCGGAGGCCGGCCTCCGGCTTGCCAGCCTCCCCTCTCGGCCGAACGAACAAGTGCGAGGAGCACGTCCGAAACCCTTGCTGGGACGAGCCAAGTCGCCGCCGCGTCTCATATTGCGTGGGCTTTTTGCCCGCATTCGGACGCGCCCCCCGCGCTGCTGCCGCCGCCTTCGGATCGCATTGCGTCGAGCGCACTTTTCCCTATTTCTTCTCGAGCCGAGCGGGAGGCGCCTCTTCTCCATCGCGGACCCCTCTGCAGAGGGGACTTCCCCTGACTGAACTGCAGGTTTTCCCCCTCCCCTCCCCGCCCCGCCTGCTGCCGGTGACGTCGTCGTCGCGTTAATTCGCGCCGCTTTAATCTCTCCCGTTTCTTCGCGGTGACAATGGCGGGGCAGCGCGGCATGGCTCTTCTGCTGCAGCCAATTCGCCAGCGATGCGGCTGTTACCGACAATTGCTCCTCCTCAACCTGCTGCTGCTGCTACTACTGCTGCGCACTGTGGCGGCGGGTACAATCACCTGCCCTTGAGCAGCGGTTTGGCCACGGCCGCGACTCCTATCCGCGCGCGCGGCGGCAGCGCCTGCCGCCTGCCGCTACCAACTCGATGATGTCACCCGATCCATCACGCCCCACAATAGTGGACTCGCCTTAAATGAAGCGGGCCACATGGCCAGGGTCCCCACTCCCACCTCACTAGTTCACACCGTTTTAGGGAGGGCCACGCTGATTTGACCCGTTTCGTGTTTTCGACGAATTCTGTCCATTTTTCTAAAGAAGGATTTGTTTTGTTTTGTCGTTTCAGGTTGTCTGAGCTGACGGAGCTGCTGGACCTGAGCCACAAGCAGATCGAGGAGATGGAGGCCGCCACGCAGCCCGCGTCGGTGCCGCCCATACCGCTGCACCTGCCGCCACCGCAGCCCCCGCTGCCGCCGCCGCAGACCAAGCCCGAGGACGACCCCGCCGAGATGATCTACTGCTCCGTGGACGAGCTGCGCGAGTGGACCAAGAAGAAGGACGACACCAAGACCCTGGCCAACAACGCCATCAACAGCTAAGAAACGGCCTTCCGATCCGGAATGGCGGCCGTGACGTGCTGCAGGAGATCTCGCTCAACAGCAAGGTGGGCGTCTCTTCCGGCCAGCAGGGCGAGGTCCTTCCCGCCCGAAGGAACTAGCCGTCCTGCCACAGGTCCTTGACGGCGTGCCCTTCTGTTTGCAGCCCGTGCCCAAGGTGGCGCAGCGGGTCGCGCAGTGGGAGCGGCGCGTCCTGGAGACGAGGACGGAGGAGATCCTCACCAACCTGAAGCAGCGCCAGCAGGAGCGCCTGTGGCAGGAGCAGGAGCGGCTCGCCAAGGAGGCGGAGCTGCAGATCCGCGAGGAGCACCGGCGGACGTCCGTCCTGGACGACCCCCGGACCTCGCCCCTCGCCCGCCGCCAGCCCGACGGCCTCTTCGCCGCCCTCTGTGTGAGTGTTGCTTGCACGCCTACCTCCCCGGCGCGGGCCGAGCCTGGAGTGACCGTGCCCCTTGTCCGCCCCGCAGGCCGCCGCCGTCGCCGCCGCCGCAGAGCCGCGAGGCGGTGATCCAGTGGTACCGCAACCAGGAGGAGCCCCGGCGCGCGGCGCGCGGGCCTGGACGCGAGCGGCGCCCCGCAGCCCTGGTTCCACGGGCTCATCAGCCGGCAGGAGGCCTCGCCGCCTCGCCTCCAAGGGCCCCGGCGCCTTCCTGGTGCGGCTGTCGGAGCGCGTGTGGGGCTACGCCATCAGCTACCGGGACTCTGACGCCGCCGGCCCCGGCCGCCGATGCAAGCACTACCCGGTGGACACGTCTGGCCTCGGTGGCGGCTACCAGTTCCTGGGCGCCAACCAGATCTGCCACAAGTCGCTTGGTGAGTAAATGAGTATGACGACACGTAAGCAGGACTGGCTCCAGGGTGGCCCCCTTTCACCTCCGTGGTTTATTTTCCTGAATCGCATGCTGGCTTACGTGCGGCGGGTTTGCCTATCGTCGCTGACCATGGCGCACCAAGGCCCCTAGCGAGTAGGCAACCCGCCCGCACGCCTGCATGCGGTACAGTCTAACCACAGGAGCGAAGGGGGTCTTGTGGGCCACCGCTACTTGTTTTGAGTAATTTATTTATTTTTAGCTTTGATAATTTAAAATAATCCGTGTTCCCTTGCAGAGGACCTGGTGCGGTACCACCGCGAGCAGCCCATCACGCTGGCTGGGGGAGAGCGCCTGATCGAAGCCTGCCGGCGCCCCGCGACGCCTCCGCCCCCGCCGTCGGCGCCCGCCCTCGCCGTCGGCGCCCGCCCCCGCGGCCCCGCTCCACTTCCCCATCGCCCACCCTCCCCTGCCCCCGCTGCCCGTCACTGCCCACAGACCGGTGTACGCCGGCGGCGCCAGGCTCGGCCGGAACGGTCCGGAATAAGGAAGCCAGCATCCTCCGGGCCTGATCTGCTCAGCCCCGGATGGACCAACTCTGACCCGGACCGGACCGGCCGGACTGACTGATACAAGTGCGCCATGTAAGTTTCCCGCAGTAGATGTTTGGACCCGTGATAAAGACTCCTGCTCTTTCTGCGTGGCTAGACTGTTGTGATTTGACATACCCTGTAGTCTTCATAGTTTGATTAATGGCTAAGTCTGGCCCTCTGTATTTTCTCTTGTCCTTTTTAAAAAAATGTAACTGTGAATAGTTTTTAAGATGTTAAGCAAGGCGGCAGGGTTTGTGATTGCCCAGACCTTATAGTTTTTGCTCGATTGTGAGATAG